ATCGGTCGATGGATGTATTACATCGACCAGTTCGATTTTGACCCGTGCCACATTCCCGGTCCCGCCAATCGAGCTGTGGACGCCCTCTCACGACGGCCCGACTTTTGTGCCATTGTGACCACGGCATTCGACCTCGATGACGATCTGCAGCAGCATTTCGTCAAAGGCTACGAGTCCGATCCGACTTACTCTCAGCTTTACGCGGAGCTTTCATCGGATCACCCGCCGGCTAGCCACTATCGGATTTCCGATGGGTTCCTTCTCCTTCACACGAGAGGAAAGGACTKGTTAGTTGTGCCCCAAGATCGCATCTTACGGACTCGTCTTCTCGGCGAATTCCACGACGAACGACTTTCGGCACACCTTGGCGTGAACCGCACACTAGCACGCCTCCGCCAGCGTTTTCACTGACCCGACGTCCTTCACGACGTCACGAGGTACATTGAGTCATGTGCAGTTTGCCACCGTAACAAGGGTCGATCTCGAGTCCCCTTCGGCGAACTGAAACCATTGCCGATCCCTCGGGCACCACGCCTCTTCATTGCTATGGACGTGACAGGCCCGTTTCCCCGCGATCGCCACGGCCATGACGGTATTCTCACGGTCGTTGACCGTTTGAGCAAGTATGCTCGCTTCCTTCCTTGCAAGTATCATGCTGCAGCGCCTGAGCTCGCACGACTCTTGCACACCGGTTGGATTACCAACCAAGGTGTTCCGGAAGACATAGTGAGCGACCGAGATACTCGTTTCATGTCAGCCTTTTGGACTTCCCTCATGGCTGAGTCCGGTACGACAATGAAACCGAGCTCGGCTCGGCTCGGCACCCGCAGACGGATGGTAAGACGGACAGAGCGCATCAGACCGCTCAGATGATGTTGCGTACGCTCATCCGTCCCGACCAGAAAGATTGGGTTGACCGACTTCCCGACATCGAGTTCGCCTACAACACTTCGGTGCACCCGGCGATCTGCGTCACACCATTCGAGCTACATCATGGTGGAGAGAAAGCACGGATCTTCGCTGATCTCCTTTTGCCACAGGCTGCCGACATAGACGTCCCTTGCTCTCCCGCTTCCATCCGGAAGTACCGGGACTTGCTGATCAAAGCCCGCTCAAATATGCAAAAGGCTCAGATCCGCATGCAGCAGCAAGCTAACCGACGTCAACTTCCATGTCCCTTCCGCGAGGGAGACTTTGTTTGGGTCCTCTTCGAGGAATTTGCGCTCGAGCAGGACGTTTCGCGCAAACTCCTTCCGAAATGGTTCGGACCATGGGAAGTCACTTCTGCCGTTGGAGACRATCCCGCAGGYCCTTCCTTYGTGATCAACATTCCACCGCACCTGACAGTGCATCGGGTCTTCCACACATCGAAGCTGGCCATCTACACGCCACCTTCAAATGACGAGTTTCCCGGACGTCGATCACAGGATCCGCCCTCCATGGACGGACATCAGGAAGTGGACCGAGTCCTCGCGCACCGCAAGTATGGCAACAAGCCAAGGCAGTACAAAGTCACATTCAACAATGTGCGCCGGATGACACTCGGTGGATCTCCAGTGAAGATTTGCAGACTTCTGCACCCCTCATCTTCGCCGACTATGAGAAGCGAGGCCTTGCTAAGGACGCAGCTCGTCCCGCCCGAYCCACCCCGGTATCGGACAGATAACTTCGCCCTCGCAGGTAGCTCGGTCTTTTAAGAGGGGGAGTGTGTTACATCTTCGACGCCACACGGATCCTACCGGACCCGACTTAGGGCTAGAGGGACACACCAGGGCCTAAAGGCCCGACCTTGGGGTACTACAGGCCATAAAGGCCTCACCTTGGACCAGACCCGACGGTCAGGCCCAAACGACATTACCGTTTGGGCCTGGCGGCGCTCTTGAGGCTGCCGCCCGCCGGTTGGGGCTGAACCGTCCATCGGGATGGTTCAGGGCACGGCCAGGCCTCGCAGCAGTGAGGCCGGCCTCTGCCCACCGGTATAAAGAACCGGTCCGGCCTCACTTCGAGGTATTGAACCACCGGCACTCTACCGGTGCGTTATGGTCAGCGCCCGAGCGCTGTTTTGATGCGCTAAGTTTAGCGCAGGAGTGAGCAAGGAGCAGCAGCGGCAGCGCAGCATTAGCGCAGCGGCAAGCGGAGCAGCAGCAGGGCGACTGAGCCAGCACGGCGGCCATTGCCGCCTGAGGTACCTGGGAGTGGAGGACCTCTCCTCCCTCCCTCGTCAGCTCTCTCTCTCTCTCTCTCTCTCTCTCTCTCTCTCTCCTCCTCCTCCTCCTTCTTCTTTTTTCTTCTTCTTCTTCTTCTTCTTCTTCAGACTAGAGACTTATACTAGTTGGACAGAGATCAGTATTGGACTTCGGTGGTATGAGACTGTGGTACTTGACGGATTGGAGACTTGGAGATTGTTGGGGTTGATACTCGGCTGCATCACAGTTCGGACAGCGGTTACATTTGGACTCTGTACCTCCGACATTGGTGACCTATTGTCCTCGACATTTTGATCTTGTTAGATGTCATTTTGGACTACCATATCGGTGACCTATCAGATTCTATCTCGGTGACCTTCGGTGTTGTCTACCTCCCCACCTCCTTCGTCTCTCCTCCCACCTTTCATCTGTGAATGCGTGTACGGGATCTGGGCATCGTCTATGAATGGCCCAGACCCCACCATCTCACGATTGTATGTGTGTGGAGTGATGCTATGTGAGTCAGTCCGTTTATCAGACTTCCGCTGCATATATGCTTATCCTACATTGGTTGATCTTTGGTTCTGCCCATACTCATTGAAGTATGCAACAGTTTTGGTATCGGAGCAGACCAATAACGGATCTGCTCACCAGGTAAGTCTCTTTAGAATTAGATCATTTTGAGTGATCTTCTAAATCGGCGCTGAATTATTACCGAGATTAAAGTTGCAAAATTTCTTTTTTTTCGGTCTTCTGGTTATTTCGGCATTCCGTTTCAATTCAGTATTCGGACTTATTATTCGGATTTCTGTCCTATGCCGGTASRCTGTYTAATTAGATCCGAGAAATTGATACTAATCCAACATTCTGTTTGATTCGGATTTCTGGTTAGTAATTCGTAATTAGGGTTGAATCAGTATCATGTTTGAAATTCGGCTTTTCTGATTTCCATTCAGCATTCCGTTTTTCGGCTTTCTGTTGTAAATCCTATACTTCGTTTGCTTTTGAGATTTCCGTTGTCTTTCAGCATTGGAATTAGGGTTCCGAAAATCTTTTTGGTTTTAGATCAACTTGGGGAAATGCGAACGTTTTGGGGATCGTAAATCCGGAAATTTCGCGGAAACGCGGAAAATTAGGGTTGGATCCGAAATTTTTGCGAATTTTTTTTTCATTCCCCTTGTTTGAGAAATTCCGGAAACAGGTTTAGGCTTTTAAAAATCGGATTTTGACGGTGGAAATTCCCGAAAATTCGCGTTTTTGAAAATTTGAGCGTTTTTTTTCCCGAAATTTTCCGAATATTTTTTTAGCACACTTAAGCCCTATCTGACCCTCAAACTGCAACTTCCGGGTAGTTCACTCGTTAACGGTGAACTCCCGGACTCAAGTGATCTCAAAGAGACCTAATCATAACACCATTCAAATTCGTTATTTCATTAAGAATTATTATTTCGTTATTTATCAGTAATTAATTTTACTGATTAAATCGTTATTAAATTYTTATTACGAATTTTGGAGTGATTTACGGAAATTTATTTTTCTGTTTGATTAGGTGTCTACAGTCCATCAGTGGGACAGGGGATTGTATGTATATTGCTTGATTGTTCTACCCCTRTTCCCACTCTCCCTACCCCCCTGTATTCTGTGAACACCGGCACCTCTCAAGTACCGCATCAGTTCAGACTGATGTCGATGGAACAGGACACCGGGGCACTGCCACGACGCAGTGCCAGGATCGCAGTTCGTGCCCGCCCTGCGGTACCTCCAAGACCCAAGAGATTCAGCAGACGGACGACTCCAGCGGCATCAAGTACGGCATTGACAGTACAAGACACCACCGGAGATCTTCCCGCATGCCCGGTCCGAGAGGCCAGCGAGCCTTTGGCTGACTATCGTGGGCGGCTACAGGCATTTACAGACGCCGTAGCC